ACCAACGCACGATCAGAGTCGACGCAGGTGCTTCAAAATGAGTGGTAATCCAAGATGGAACCACGCTACCTGTTGCTTATGGCAATGCGATCAATTTGGGTCCAACGCTGATTAAATGATGGAGGAAGCCAAGTGGCACTCCGGAGCCCAGTGTCTAAAAGCGGTGCTACTAAGAAACAACTGGTGCCCCGCAAACAGTTGCAAAAGACACTTGCAGTTGACCGTCCGTTAGCAGTTAAACCCGTAATTACGACCTAGCCGAGCTTCAGAAGAGCCCAGGCGGCCTACTTGTACATTCATGTCTGCCGCAAGTACTATAATATCTGAACTAGTAGCACTGGGTAGTTGCGCGTTCAGTTCGTCATAGAATGTGCCCTTGACAGCATTTGTACTGCAGTCGGTGGGAGCATAAGCGAAAATCACAAACAAACAGCGTTTTTTACTACTTCGTGAATCAACCTTAGCTGATGTTGTCAAACGGGCTGCACATAAACGGTTGTTCACCGGAACCCAATCAACCAGCTCAGGCTTGGAGTTGAGAATGATACCTACCCCAGCTTGACCGTGAGTGCTGTATCGGCGTCTCCGGATGCGTGAAACCAATAGCGAGAGGATAATCCGGGTAAAGTTAAATCAATAACCCCATTAGGGCCATCGACCTTAGTTTCGGACACACAACACACATCAATACCCAGTGCGAGTGCAGCCTGTTGAACTATTTGTCTTAGAGTGCGAACGTTGAACGCCACCAGGAAAACGGGACAGGGTGGCCTTATAAGGGACTGTTGCCGATAGGCATCTGATGGGTGTTATGGGAAGGTGGCTGCAGATAGTTCTTCAGTGACACTTCTGCTGCTGTCAAATAGGCTGGGAATATTAGAAGGATAGTAATGGGGGCTGGGAAGGGAGTAAGAGCAACAGGTGGAAAAGAAAGGTGGCGCGTGTTTTCACTTATCCGCCCTGCTATATGCAGCAGATAAGGCGACTCTTGATCATCTGCGCGAGGGCGATGCAGGATGAAGTTTATGTTTGAAGAAAAAGACATGGTTGTATGTGGACTGAGATATTGCCAGGGTGCCCAGACCTAGACATGAGGATGATTAGGGTCCTCATCCAAAGCCTTTGGCTCAAAAGCAAGGCAGCGAAGAGGTGTCAATTTATTTTTACAGAAATGGACGTCATCCTATTTTAAAAACCCAACCTGGAGGATCAGGAGACTGATTTTGTCTGACCTCTAACCAATGACCAAGCTGGTGGCAGTAGTTCTCAAGGGGCCCGGAGGCACCACCCAGTATAACTCAATGGGTCAAGGAGGTGTGCAAACTATCGCACCACGTTAAGGTCCAATGTTGCCACCGATACGAAAGTGTCAAAGATCTTGGGGGAGTCAATGAACAGCAGGTAAACTGTGCACGGCTTAAACCTAGCTTTCACGAGCTACCAATAAGTTTGTTAGACACGAATATCTTTTGCGAAATCCATGTTGTACGACATTATACAGGTCAACTTTATTCAAGTGCTTCTCCACTGAACCTAATTTAACCACCATGCTGGTCATCATCATCATCATACACGTTAGCTAGAGGTGGGGAACACCACAGCTACTGTGCCGCAATACATAGAAAAAAGGAGAAAAAAATTAACTGGTGCAAGCTGGCTGAGCTACCGGTAACGGATGGGTATCGTTCCGGTAAGCTACCAGCCGGCTGCTGTGTACCCAAAAAAATTATTACACAAAATTATACAAGGCTAAATAATGAGATCGTGGTTGGAGGGGGAGGCTAAGAGGGATGGGGTGGGACAAAGAAACTCACAGCACGAACGCCACTGAGGTTGGCTCCTAGCCATATCAGCAAGTGTGTCCAACCAAACGTGTTCATCGTCTTTCGGACCACAACCAGGGAGCCGAGACGCTCCAACCGAGGCCAGCTCAGATGTGAGGGCCTTCATTCCTCTCGACCAAGTCATCGCCTGGCCACCCCTCCTTTTCTTCCATCCACACCCACGGCGCGCAAACAACACACGTCACGGAAGTCGGTGGGCTGGCATGCGTAACACGTAACCGAACCATCGGAGCCTGATGCCTGAAATAACGGTGCTGAGCGGTTCATTTCCTTTTCCTATGCCATAAACAAGGCGTCGAACATGCTCGTTGCTCACGCGGTGTTCACACCAAATGTGAGCTAAATTACGAAGGAACCGGTGGTCGAACGTAACTAGCCGCTTCAGGTCCGCTGCTTTAAGCGGCCAGGTTTCACAACCGTACAGTAGGGTCGAACGTACTGCTGCATTGTACACTCTACCCTTCAGGGCAAGAGTGATGTCGCGCCGGCGCCATAAGTGGCGAAGGTTAGCAAAAGCGCCCCGAGCTTTTGCTATACGATTCGTGATTTCATCTTCAATCCCACGGGCACTGATACAACTTTCCAGGTAGTTGAATTTTTGAACAACTTCTAGCTGATCCTCATCAAGGGTCAGCGTAGGAGGCGGTCCAGACCAATCTTGGAGAAACGCTTTGCACTTCGAGTGTGCGAAGCAAAGCCCGAAGTGACGGACAGCTAGTGCTAATCTGTCCAGTGCCGCTTGGCACGTTTGTGAGCTGTCACAGATCAGGGCAATATCATCAGCATACTCTAAGTCCAGAAGTCGTTCTCCTGGGAGTAGCTCCACACCTTCTAAGTCGTGCCCTGTGAACGCGATTTCCATGACTTCGTCAACAGCGAAGTTGAAGAGGAAAGGTGACAGCGGGCATCCTTGTCTCACGCCGCTGGAGATATGAAAGAGCGACGACAACTTGCCGTAAGCCCACACTCTTCCCGAGCTACGCGCATATAATGCTCGCATAATATTCACATATTTCTCGGGCACACCTTTCCTGAGTAGACAGTCCCAAAGTGCATGTCTATCCACCGAATCGAATGCACCTTTGATATCGAGGAACACGACAATGGTGGGCCGCCAATATATGTGACGGTGCTCCAACAACTGACGCAAGGTAAAGATGTGGTCAATGCAACCACGACCTCGGCGAAATCCAGCTTGCTCTTCGCGAATCTGGCTTTCACGAGTGCCAATCAGTCTGTGAAGATGACAGAGGCAAGCAATTTGGAGGCGATGGAGATAAGACTGATTCCTCTATGGCTGCCGCATCCCGATCGTGAGCCTCCTTTGAAAATTGGGACTATGGAGCGGCTCCAATCGGTAGGGACAGTTTTCTGTTCCCATATGTTGTCTAGTAACTTTTGTAAATCATCCACAAGAGGCCCCCGAATTTGAAGAGGGCTGGAGGAAGGTTACCAGGGCCGGCGGCTTTATTTAACTTCAACAGTTTGATCTCACGTTCGACTTCTGAGCGAGGGTGGATCCAAAGGAACAGCCCATGGAGCAGGGCGATCACTGGTCGGCGAGAAATCTAACAATTCCGACCAATTAAATTGCCTTTCAAAGTGCTCAGCCCAACGTTCCAGGCGTTTTGATAAGTTGTGGATAGGCTGTCCACTCTCGTCACGTATAGTTTCACTAACATCAGGTCTCCTGCTGCCCGTTTCCCGTATCAGACGGAATAACTCACGATGGTTACCAAGGGCAGCGGCCATTTCCATCTCTGTTGCACGACGAGACCACCAGGATTCGCGGTCTCTCTTCAGGCTAGCACGGAGTTTCGCCAGGAGCACTTTGTGAGTTTCATTGTGTTCGCTTCCAGCCGGAATATGCCGGCGAGTATCTATAAGTTCGAGACTGTGAAGACCCAATGTTCATGTTGGCGATTAGCCATACCACATGAGGATCTGCCTGCTGCTAGTAAGGCCAGTTGCATATGAGACCAGTGAGCTTCAATTGCATCCAGTGAGCGTTTATACAACTCGGATGACGAGGTAATTTGATAGGCGTTCAGAACAGCTGGCTACACCAGTCTGCCGGTGTCAATGCGCTCACAACATCGTCGCGGGCGTCCGCCAAAGCGCATCCGCATGTCAGCACATACAAGTGCATGATCGGTGTCAACACCTGTGCTCCAAATCGAGCGACAGTTCTGGACGCAGCCTCTCCAGCTGGTCAATCAGACAGGTCTATAATTAGACAGTAGGTTTTTATCGCCGCACTGGAAATTGGACAGACAAGGACATCCTTCCATTCAGGATGGAAGACAACTGTTGAGTGACTTCCGAATCACAAAAGCCAGAGGTCCAGTGAGTTCCACTGCCAATTCGTGCAGCAGTTTAAGTGAAACCGAATCTGGTCCGGAAGCCTTAGTTGGGTACATCACTATCAGCAACCGGAGTTCTTATGGACTTTGGAAGCTAGTTCTTTGCATGTTCGTTACGCAGACAAAGGCGCTTGGGTACTACACACCAAGCACACGCCTCGTCATAATCGTTATAGGCATAGGTCGCATCACCTCAAAGCAAAGCTGTAATGGGCGAGTTTGCACCACGTCGCTTGACGTAGGGAAAGAACATTTTCGTATTGGTCAAGGCCGTGCCAGCTAAGCCCTTCTCATATTGAAGCCGGGCCAACTTAAGACAGCTTGCACTTATTCCGAACCACCCGATACCTGTCAAACGTGCTGGTCAACGGAGCTGTCCGATAGGCTCGCCGGCATCTAGACCGATTCTTCAGCAGGCTCTTCCCCACGGAGGCTGCACTATTGTTTCTCTTCTTTTCATCAGTGAGATGTGATGTGCAGAAATATCGACGAGGTAAGCTTTAAATTTTCCAAGGTCATCTAAACAATGTAGGTCTCAGAGATTATGCAGGGCGATGATAGAACTCGTACTGCATCGCTTGGAAGTTCGCGGCCCAAATGCTAGTAGTCCGGTAAGGCCACACTGAAAATATAAGCAAACGTGATCGCTAGCGCGAATTGCTAGACGGAACAACGTAACATGACCCGAATACTAACGTTTGCACTAAAATCAGAGTAAGACGGAAGAAAAGGTCATTGATTTATAAACAAAAGATAAAGCTGCGAACTATCACGAAAACACCAGGTATGGAAATCACTGTCGCCAAAGTGAAAAATTATACCAGACTGCCAAAATAGTTACCTTAGATCTGACTCGACCGGTCTGAGCCATATTAACGAGCATATTTTCCACCATCTGGGCTTTATCCGGTTTTGTGATGGCTATCGTGCTTACTGTGCACGGAATTAAAGGGAACTCAAAAACTTACATCGAGCTCGAGCATCTTGATCAAGAATCTGAGCCAAGATGTTGGATCTAATTTCTTGTTGACGTTCTCTGGCTGCTTGTTTTTGTTTTTCTTCATCCTACAGTGTGATGAAACAGAGAGCGATGGTAAACAACCTCATCCCCAGCGTTCATATCAGCTGCCACTAATAGCAGAGAGAAGGACGTTCGACCCACTTAAGGTCAGGTCAGAACTTCAAGTTTAAGCGGGACTGGAACGATAGGATGAATCCCGTAAGTGTTCCTTCTTGAGCGGGTCGTCGATCCAGGAGTTGATAGGGGTGTTTTGACTTCTTGATGGGTCTAAAACGAAAACACCCGAAAAACACCCTGGTCCACCAATTTAATGCCCACGTTCCTTACATTAGCTGTCCCAGCTATGTCAGTTGCGTGAAGTAAGTAAGAGAGGAAGAAGAATCGAAGGTAATAGAGTAGGGGAAATCAGTTAAAAGAGGAGAATAATACCAATGGTGAAGAAAAGTAAAGAAAATAGAATCGAATTATGAGGATGGGAATTTGTCAGGAAAACGGAAATGTTTCGTATTGCCACCCAAGAGCATCTAGTTGACGCTCAAACCTCTTAACCGTAGCTTCTTTGACAACATTTTCTGGAAGCAGGTTCCGGCGCTCGAGGACTCGTCGCGATAAGTGTGTCTCCGATCTAACTCGATCGGACCTCGGTTTGTCCAGCTTCATACAATGCCCGCGGAGACCAGATAATCTAGCAGGACTAAATAGCATGGACAAATCAGGGCCAACCATCCCAGTCAAAATACGGTAGGTTAAGATTAAGTCCCCTCTAATTCTTCGATAATGCACTGACTGCATCCCCAAACTAAGTAGACGTTCGGGGCACGTTTGCCCTCGTAATCCCTTGACCAAACTAGTACCGACACGCAACACCCTTTCTAGTGCCATTTTGTCCCGGACAAGGCATGGTGGACAGGCCTGGACGCAATATTCTAGGTGGGGTCGCACAAACGCTGAGAAGAGCTTCACAAACACATCAGCGGTTAGGGTCCCAAAAGAACGACGGATAAACCACAACATTCGGAACCCTTTACTAGCCGCCTTCTTCCAGTTGTCTCCAGAGTGTAATGTGGAACAGTGGACGACACCTAGATCAACCTGATGAGTCACGTGAGGAAGTACAGTCCCATCGAGCACATAACTTGTGGAGGAATCAGACGCTCCGATACGCGGCACTGAACACTTTGCCCGGTTTATAGGCAGCAACCACAAGACAGACCATTCCCAGAGTCTATCCAGAGCCCGTTGACGAGCCATAGGACCTCCAGGGATATCAACAATATCCCGAAGATTCAGGTCATCTGCAAATAAAAGCGATTGTACCTCAAGCTCCTCCGGAAAGTCATTCATCTAGACTGAGAACAGCAGCGGACCTAGGACAGAGCCTTGCGGAACGCCGCTAAGTACAGCCTGTCGAAACGAAAGACTGCTACCCACACGAATACACTGTTCCCGTCCAGCTAGAAAAGCTGCCACCCACTGGAGAGCGCGACCAGCTATTTCATACGACCTCAACTTCAGTGAGAGGCGCGAATATGGGACAGTTTCAAAGGCCTTAGCGAAGTCAATGAACACCACATCCACCGCATGTCCACTGTCTACAGCTTCAGCCCAGCACTCACGAGCTACCAGCAAGTTCATCTGACACGAAAATCCTTTGCGAAAACCACGTTGCTCGACACTAGGCAGGTTAAACCTATTTAAATGGTTCGCCACTGTATCTCGTACTAATTTTTCAAGTAACTTAACGACCACGCTAGTCAAGCTGACAGACCTGTAATTAGCCGGTAGGTCTTTGTCACCGCACGTGAAAATCGGGCAGACAACAGCCTCCTTCCATTCGGTAGGCAAGATACAGCTTTTAAATAAATAAATAAATAAATAGTTTATACTCGTTATTGCGAGGCACACCATCAAGGGCGTGATGATGGTATTACAGACACGTATGATCAGCAATTGCACAAATTAGTACGTTTTGACCAATAGCATGCGAAGTTATTTGTGTGTTGAGATGTAAAGCTATGTTTAACTGTGTATTTTTAAAGGGACATGTTGTGTGAGTAGGTAAATGTGACTGTGGGTGCTTTTGTTCGTTGTGTTCGCCATCAAAGTGAGTGACTTCTGAAACACACAAGTCAGAGGTCCACTGAGTTCACCTGCCAATTCGTGCAACAATTATGGATGAACAGAATCTGGCCCAGAAGCATTAGTTGTGTTCACCTCTTTTAGCAACCGGAGAACTTGGGACCCCGTTACAGGAATTTCATCCAGACAACAGTCCTCAGTGACTCTTGGAGCTAACTCTTTACATGGCGTATTTGTCTCGCGGACAAAGATGCTTGAGTACTGCTTACCAAGCACGCATGCCCTGTCATAGTCGCTATAGGCATGAGTCCCATCTCCTCGAAGCAATGGTGGAATGGGCGAGTTTGCACCACAGCGTCGTTTAACGTAAGCGAAGAATCTCTTGGGATTTTTCGAAGCAGTATTAGCTAAGCCCTTTTCATACTGAAGCCGGGCCAACATAAGATGTAGCTTGCACTCATTTCGAACCAACCGATACTTGTCAAACGTGCTGTTCGACGGGGCTGTTCGGTAAGCTCGCCAGCATCTAGGCCGCTTCTTTAGCAGGCCCTTCCCCGCGGAATCTATCCACGGAGTCTGCGCTCTCGATGCCCTTCTTTTTACCAGTGGGACGTGAGGTGCAGAAATGTCGACGAGGTGAGCCTTAAGCTTTTCCCAGGCTATGTGAACAGTGGCGGCCTCAGATATCACACAAGACGATGACCTAGCTCTATCCCGCATCGCTTGGAAGTCCTCGGCCCAAATGTTCGGATACCTACTGGTAGTAGCTTGGCAAGGCCTGATAAGGGTACACTGAAAAGACAAGCAAACGTGCTCGCTAGCGCCAAGAGGCGAGTCCTATTTAATGTCATTTACAAAGTCAAGTGACTTAGCAAAAACAAGATCTAAAATGGACGGCTGCTGATTTCTCATGTACCTAGTGGGGAGGTCCACGAACTGGCGTAGTGGTACCTGCAGCGTTACATTCAGCAGTTCTGTACCGAACGATCCCAGCGCAGAACTGCAATATAGATCATCCCAACAGACCTCTGGGAGGTTGAAGTCTCCCAGCACCAGACACTTGTTCACAGAGTGCCTGCGCATAAACTCGATGGTTCCATTTGAGGTGCTCAAAGGGCTTCTATACACTAACACGACCGTAACCTGAACCGAGAAAGCGCAAATCAAGACTGCGAGTGCCTCAAAAGATTTGTCGAGAGACTGAAAAACGCTGGTCCTCAGTAAGTCGATGTGATAACACACACAAATAGCTACACCACTCCCTTGACGGCCAATGGAGCGGTCAGCGCGGAACAATGCGTAGCCACGCAGATATACTTCGCCACCTGTGATTTCCTCAGACAGCCACGTTTCAGTGAAAGCAAGTATAGCTGGACGAGATTTGTCAACGATCAGACCCACCTCGCACATCTTGTTCCTCAGGCTGCGCACGTTACTAAGTACTACTTAGCGGGCTTCGGCACGACTAGCCCTGGGTGGTGCGCCAGTAGTATAGGTTCTGGAAGGGCGGAAAATGACCGCCGGCTGACCAACTGAAAACCCACCAATCGGAGACATTGCTCGCCAGCTGCACGTCGGGCTTTTAGGTCTCTGGAGGCTTCCTTTAATTTTAACCTATCCGCTAACGTAAGGTCTGGTTGCACACTAACCGTGGTACCTTTGAGCTTGAAGGCAAATCTCAGTAAGGCCCTGCGCTCTTCTGGGGTGGAGAGGACCACCCTAAGCAGACGGGTCGAGGATTTAGTTAACCAACCGGAACGTTCCCCAATCTGATGAGCTTCCTGACAGTAACGCCAGGAAAACCTGGTGGTAAAAGCCTGGTCACGCAAACTTTAGGCCGGCCAAGATCATCAAGCATGCGCTCGGTGGGAAGAGCGGCAGTGGATTCCGTGACGTTTCTGAACATCACCCTGCTATCTGTGTAAGAATCGCCTCGACGAGATGTATTTACACCACATGCTTTACCATTCACGCTACACGGTTGTTTGACAGGAATCGGTGGGACCGAAGGCGACGGCACCTCATGTCTCACTGAGGGAAATGCAACACCAGGTGGTGTTTCCAACACAGGCGCCTGCTTCTTGAGCACTTTATCATCTTCCGGTTTAAGGGCAGGGGTTTGAGAGCTTTCCTTGCCCTATTACGCTTATTCTTCAATGGCCCAGGAGCCCGTAACCCGCCTTCCATTTGGAGCGGGTCAACAATGCCGTCAGAGGCATCTGTATCAGTTATATCCCCGTGAACAGGAGCCTCCGGTAGGATGAACTCCTCGTCAACGGTTGGACTATCAGCGGAAGGACGGTCCGTTACAGCGTCCGCATTCGCGATAATCAGGGATTTCATAATCAAATCCACTTTACAGTTGAGCGAGGCAAGAGAGGCAAGCTCGGCTAATGCCTTCTCAGCAACTGTGCATCTGGATACTAGTGCTTTGGATTCAGCACAGGTGTAAGCCGGGAGCTTCGCTTTCTGAGCGCAACAATCAGTACATATAAACAGAAGATTTTCCTTGGATGATAGCATGTTGTACTGATTTGCTCGGCGTCCGGTACAACTTTTGTGATACCAACGAGAGAAAACATCACATTGTGTACCACCAGATGAATCCGTCACTGGCCTTGAACAGGCAGAATTGCTGCAAGCTGCATTTGACTCGTCAAACGAAGACGCAAGGTGTTCATTCGCTTCGGATTTTCGCGAGACGACCATGTTGAAGTAAAAAAAGAATTTAAAAACTCATATACAACCGTAAAACGACCACAATAAAAGAGCAAAACAGGGTGTAAAACGGGATTAAAAAGTCGACAACCGCAAAATTACCAGTAAGCGTCAGGAAGACGCTTTGACCAGTACCACTTCAGTCGATCCAAGATATCTTGAATCAGAGGAAATTTGACAATAGTCAAATTTCGTTCCAAGTGTTTATTCAAACACTGTTTTCCACGTTATATCAGCTAAAAATCTC